TTATATAGCATGTTCGTTATACCTATATAACGGCCTGTCTAACTAAATTGGGCTAGAATCCGTTATAAAGATATCTTGTAATATATTAATAAATCAAATGCACATATCAATATTTATTTCAAAGCTACCTCAGTAAGCTAACCCAGTAGAACCGTAAAAGGTGCATCAATCAGATCTCTTCTAATAAGTGATGCCAATAAAATCTTCAGATCAAGTGTAATGTGAAAATCACATTTTTTAAAAAAACTACTGATTATTTAAAAATTTTGTCTATGAAAACTACCTTCTGCGCACTGTCAAAAACAATTTCTTGCAAAATATTAGTATAGGGCAAGCCTTCCTTCGGTCATTACCCAAACCTTAACATAAGGTTTTGACTTTAAAAATGTTGCGCATATTTTTTTGTTTTAATTAGCATAAATAGTCAACCTCTTTCCTAAGTGCACCCTTTATACATAACCAGGCATATACGTGTATTCTCCATAAATACATAAAGAATTTGTACCCTTTTCAAATAAATGCATATTTTATTGGTTCTAAGGATATGGGCCTGTGTTAATCACGTGTATATTTTCTTCGATTTGCTAGTTGAATTTTCCATAATTGCGCATCTTCTCTAAGTGCACAATTATCTTCGGTTTCAAGAGCGTGCACTTAAAGAGGTGTGACTATACAAGCTATTTTTCTTGACCAATTGTGTTACAAATAAAGGATAATGAATATTTGGCACAATTCAATAAACTGTAATCGCCATAATCACATTTAAAATCAAATTTAAAGTGGTATATAAATTGAACCTCAGCTAATACATTCAATGATATGATAAAGCAAAAAAAAAAAATTATTGCTGCATTCTTCTTTCTATCGTATTTTTTTTAAAAAAGCAATCCCAGATTCATCATTAAACTGCGTAAATTAAAGGGTAATTCCTGAAGATCTGCAAGTCAAAAAAAGATTCATGGACCGAACAAAAAAAAAAACATAATGTAAAAAAAAAAAAAAAATAAAGATCAAAAAAAAACTTTGACCCCACTAAAAAAAAAACTCTGAAATGTTCGCCTGCTTCTTTTGAAGAGAAGTATATCTTGAAACCTCCTTTCTCAGCCAATGAATAGTACTTTTATCTTTATTAGTTACAACCAAATCCTTGGGTTTTTGCAAAAGGTACGTCTCAACCAAATCAAGAGCTTTCAAAGCCTCATTGTCTGTAACCCTAGGCACTGGTAATACTTCTTCTTGAGGGGGGCGGTCATCCTTATTGACAGTACAGATTATATCACTGTCAGATGGCATCTCAAAAGCGACATCAGCATCAATCTCCACAAATTCATTTGCATTCATAGGGTCATCGATTTCACCATTCATCATCAAATCGATTATCAAATCATCAAGTTCATCAAACTCACTTTTCAATTTTTGATTCACTTGTTGGCATGCCCGATCACTTTCAGCTACTTGGTATTGGGGAAGAATACCCGTTTTCAGCCAACAGTTCATAATTGTTTCTTCAACAACATTGTTCCATGCTTCAGAAGTAGCATTAATAGCATCAAGAATGCTAAACTCCTCAATTTCAGAAGAACCTTCTATTTTCATTTTGTCAAATGCCGCAAGCCGATTTTCCACGAAAATATGTTTATAGTAGCACTTGAACGAATATATAATACCGGCATCACACGGCTGAAGACTAGCAGTAGTATTTTTTGGTATCTTTTCAATTCGAATATTGCTAAGATTACCTTGCTGGATATGGGTAGTAGCACAATCAACAAAAAGAAGAATATGGCGGTTTTGGAGCCTCATCATTCCATTGACACGATTTAACCAATCATTATACGTAGAGACCTGCATCCAGGCTGTTTCATTCCAATAATACCAAACAGGAAGTCTTTTTTTATTAATATTTCGAATAGGGCGCGGATTTTCAAAGGTATGAATAAACACAGGAGGGAGCTTTTCTGTACCAGTTGCATTTGCTGCAAGCATTACAGTTGCACGTGCCTTTTCTTTCTTATAACCTGAAACAGGGCCTTGTGCAAGGGTTTTGGAGGGGCGCATCTTCCAGTAAAGAGACGTTTCGTCTGCATTCCATACATTTTCCAAGGTATATTCTTCACAGATTTTCTGAAAACATTCTCTGTGATTATTTAATGTTTCTATTGGTGGTGAACTAGCAGCCTCACCATTTCTATTGTACTGATGAAGACCCAATCGCTTCTGAAACTTATTAACCCATCCGGTACCCTTAAAATCAGGAATGTTTAAAGCTGTAGCAAAAACCTTGGCTTTGATAATAAGGGCAGTTTGTGTTAGATCCATATTTGCTGCAAGCGCACTTTCAACCCAGATACGCATAGCTTCATCCAACTTGGGCCACTTTGGCTAACGGTTACGTATACAGTTTACTTCAGCTTTATTGCTTGTATCAATGTTTAACCACTTGGAAGACTGCTTGAGAACGTCAGATATACATGTCTTCTTAACACCATACTCAGTGGCTAATTCATTGTTGAAGGTAGACGGAAACCTCTGTTTCTTTTCACAAATCTTCTTTTTTTGTTCGCAGTAAGGTGTTTTCTTTTAATAGGAAGCGAGTTAACCTTTGTAAACATTTTTTTTTTCTTGTTTTTTTTTTTTTTTTCTTTAGGCAAAAAGATAAAACGTGTCACGTATTAAAATTAAAAAAAAAAAAATTTAAAAAAACCCCTGAATAGGATCTGTACACACCCAAATTTATACTTCAGAGTGATAGAGCGTTCAATCATCGATAATTCAGCAATATGTGATAGAACCAGAGATTCAGAAAAAAAAAAACATCCAATGCTCAACCGAGCCGTTAGAGTTACTACAACTCTAGAGCCAATGGTTCTACTCAAGATTAAACATTTGAATGCTTGTTTTTTATATGTTTTCATGACAATATTGCAAATTGAGGAACGTATTTAGAAATTTAATGCCAGAAGAAGGTAACAGAGAAAGGTAGGTGGAAAAAGGTAACAGAGAAAAGTAAGCAAAAGAATATAGGTGAGGTAGAGACTAGCGGTTATTTAGTGTTAGATTTTCAAGGTATTTGCACTTAGAATAGTCCATATTATGTCACTGACAATGTTTTGAAATGATCAGTTCACAAACGATATTAAGAAAAAAAAATTAAGCAATTAAAAAAAAAAAAAAGAATTAAAATTTGCGAAAAAAATGAAAGATTTAAAGGAAAAAAAAATCTATCCTTAGGGTAGCGCTGCATACAGTACCCCCCGAAGTAGTATCCTCCTTTTTGACAAGCGATTTGTGACCCAATTTTCATAATTATAGTGTGATCTTTTCAATCTAGGCCAGCTTTCTTGAGAAGTACCTGGGGTACTATATGCAGCACTGTATGGTACTGGACAAAGGCATCAATGCGTCATGCTATTGTTTTTTTGTACAAAGCAACATTTTCTTATTGTCTAATTTCAGGGTTGGTGTAAAAAGGCATTACAAAGTTGAAAAAAGAAATAATGCGCCAAGCGCCATTTTGCATTAATTACTGATCACGTGTTAAAATCTGCATCTTGATTGGTCACCCAGTGGACGCCGTTATATTGACAGGTAAATTCCTAATAAAATCAGTATGTGGGCTAACAGAGATTTCCGTTATACGAAATATAGCTTTTTTACTATTAAAT